TACTTATCAATATAACAAATATTAAAGGGGAGGGGAATTAAAAGCCTCTTCACTCATTCTCCTCTATTCACTATCCCTTGCCCACTGTAACTATCTACTGAGAGTTTATAAGTATCTTTTACTGCCTTCAATCAAGATACTAATATTTCTCACAACTTCACCCTGAGATGACTGGTTTTTGACCTGGTTACATTCACTTTGTTTCCAAAATGGTAGATGCTAAAGCATCACATTCTCTACTCTTTCAGGCTCAGGGACATCACTTTTAATGAACAGGATTGCATACACTAGTAATGCTATTACTGAAAAAGAAATACTTGTTTCCAACTCATCCTGCACAAAAATATATACTTTTACAATAAATCCCATTTATTTTTAATTTTTAAACTATCATGCCAATAATTTATACCTCTCAGATGTTGTATCTCAAGTTTTGAAAAGGCAAATAGTTTTCTACTTCCTGTTTTTCACCAATAGATGGCAGGTGAAGCTCTAGAAATTTATTTACTTGATACGGTATGAAATAAGTTTGCAAGTACATAGCCAGCTGTAAATCAGTGCTCTCTGATATCTCTTCAGATGTGATCATGATTTAGTCCTAGCCCATCCACCTTGCACTACAAACTTTAGCCCAAGTTTAGGAACAGCAGCATTTTGTATATAAGCCTGCTCATTCTTATTTCTTTTGTCCTACTCGGTTAGGTCAAACCAAAGTTTGCGCACACCGCCTTTCTCTCTTAGTTGAGAAGGTATTTGTCAGCATGGCACAGCAGCTGTTACATTCATTCAGGGACTTAGGACTGAGCTTTCTGTAATTAAACGAGAAAGCTTTGAATTCATACCCATGTCACAAAGCATACTGATTGTAAGCTGAAACAGAATAAGTTGAAGCTCAACCTTTTAATTCCAGTTCCATAAAAGCTAGAAACACGAGGCGAGGGGGGCAGAGAGAGAGTGACTGGTGGCAGAGCGAGCCTACTACACTGATAAAACCAATTCTAAGAAACCACAATAAGGATGCTCAAACTGTGATACTATAATTCTTGATACATAATGCTGCATTTTTTCTTAAATCCAGTTATTCTCTGAAACACAGAAGCAGGAGAGATTTAATATTGTTTACATGCAAGCCAGGTACCGTGCTCAAAGTCACAGTGGAGCAGTATAAAAAGATAGGGATTTTCTTCTGCACGTTACAGTGATTTTAAGAACAGCAAGTAATGCCTGTAGTCAATTAATTGTAGGATTTACTTGAAAAATTAATAGAAGTGTGCATAAACCACATGATTTGAGGAGTGCAGAGTATAAAAGGACGTCTCTCCTTTTAGACAATCTCCATTAGTAAATGTACGTTATTTCTCCTGCAAAATGGTTGTCTGAAATCAGTCTCCCTTGAAATTCCCCTGCTGTTACTGGAAGTGTAAATATTGATGACTAAGTGACCATTAGAGCTCAGCTGGTTCTTGTATGTATCCCAGTAGCTCCTTCAGGCTGACCAAGTAGACAAATTTGACTGCTCTGATCCCTGCATGGCAGCCTGGATGAATGCTGTTAATCCAATCCATTCACTAATACTTCAATTTTTATAAGTTAATTTGGTTTTGTGAGCTCCGCTTCTAACTGTAGCTCTCAGCATGTATTAAAGTATGCCCACAGTATGGGCAATAGCAACAAAACATGGATAAAACCCAAGGCCAGCAAGAAGCATCAATGATTAAGGCACTGAACAACGAAAATCACGCAGCTGAGTCAGTGACTATTAATCACTCTCTACCAGTAATGCTATACAAGAGAAGGGAGGATATCTGAAACTGCTTCAAATTAACAGCTTTCCAGTGAACTGGGGAAGTTTGGCAGCATATATTGTAACCAAAATAAATTTTAAAAGTTGGTTTTAGGTGTTCAATTCAGGTACCTTAGTCTCCGCAGTCCGGATGGCAAAGAGAAGACAGCTGCTTGAATGCCCCTCTGCAGGAAACCCCCTGCCTATGTAGGAACCTGAACATCCAACTCTATCACCTCAGTCAGATACCCCAAATCAGGCAGCATGAATGACCCCTTTAGATGTTGTACCTGTCACTGAACGTGAAACAAATGTGCACGATTAACAAGCAACTTCCCAAGTGCCAGGTCATAGCATGCAAAACCAACACACTACCACTGGCTTGACAGTAACACGATGCTAAGCTGTACATGATCTTGACCCTCAAATGACAGCACATGTTATCACAACAGAATTATTAAGTAATCAGACTGGCTCAAAGTTACACATTTCCCCTTAGCCTGCTTTTGTTTGGAGCCTCTCCCCCTGATGAGTAAACTTCTAATTCAAACCTCAATTGAGAGCAGGCCGTAGTCAGTGAAACTGCAGAGAAAGGTCTGTAAACAATAACTTCTCTGTAGAGAACAAGCTGACCTTTATGGATCTTAAACAAAACAAAAAGGGTTGATTGATGTTGTGCAGTACATGCTCTCTGAAATATTAAAACCAAGAAAGTCATGGAAGGTCAGTTTATGAACATACAGCGTGATAAATTATGTCGGCAGATGGTGGGGTAGGAAAGAGGAAAGCATGACTGGGTAAAATATTTAGGAAAAAAAGCCTGTATCCTCAGATGGAGAAGGAAAAATGTGTAATGCTGACTTCTACTAAATGGAAACAAACCCCAAACCTATGATATCTAGAGCAGGTCAGTTTCTAAAGTCTCCATGACTCATTTTTTAAAATTCTAATTAATACAGTAAAATATGGTATAATATTTTTTTTAGAATAAGAAATCTATTGGTAAACTCCAAAGGATAATTACTCAGAGTTTAGCCACAAACATGTTATTAATACAGAGGACAATCTAACTTATATAGAATCACTGAATCATTTAGGTTGGAAAAGCCCTTTAAGATCATCAAGTCCAACTGTAAACTTGACACTACCAAGTCCACCCATAGACCGTGTCTCTAAGTGCGCATCTTTTAAATACCTTCAGGGATGGTGACTCAACCACTTCCCTGGGCAGCCTGTTCCAGTGCTAAATAACTCTTTCAGTGAAGAAATTTCTCCTAATATCCAATCTAAACCTCCCCTGGTGCAACTTGAGGCCATTTCCTCTTGTCCTATCACTTGTTACTTGGGAAGAGACCAACATCTACCTCACTACAACTTCTTTCCAGGTAGTTTCAGTTTCAATCTGCTTGTGCCTTGTCAACCCAAACTACAGATAAAGGCTGTAGAATGCTGCACCTCTTTCTCTCTTTACTTTGCTTTTTTAAAGTTTCCTTTCCCCCAGAAATGTACGGCAAGGTGTGAGTGTACGTTCAGCTTAAATACGTCTTCCTCTCACTTTCTGGAATGGGATAGTTTCAGCATCCAGCACTTGAAGGAGGTTCCAGGTTAACCTTATTTCCATAGACACTCCTCAATCTGCAGTGGTATTTTCAGGTGCAAAAGCAGGTCCCTCCTATATGGAGGATGTAGGAGCAGTAAGCACTGTGCAGCTGCTAGTGCCGGAACAGTTCTCCCACCAAGGACACCCAAGGACTCAAGGAGCTAGAGGGCCCCTTAAATTTCAATTTGCTGCATTTCAGAGTTTCAACATCTGCACTGTAAAAGTTCTGGGGCACAAAGACTTTTCAGCTGAACAGGTTGAAGGGCAAAGATAAGAAGGGGGTCAAGCAGGAACAGGGTGGGTGCCAATAGCACTTTGATGGAAGCTGAAAAATATGAACCCCCTGAAGCTACGGAGGGACCATTAAGTGCCCTCCAGGACTTTGTGAAGAAACAATTCCACAGGCTCAAAACTGCATAAGAGAACAGCTTTGCAGATCTCTCTATTTCCAGGGCTGGTGTCCATAACCAAACTGCAGTATGCCAGTGACAGTCTCAGCTGCTCCCTAGCTCCTGCCCAATCCCCTGCACCAAATCTCTCTTCCCATCCACAGCAGCAAGTCTCCATCCCCACCTCAACGTGCCTCTGAGGCCAAAAAGCCACAGCTGAATAGTCACATCCCTTTTGCAAGCAGGGAGAAGCCTAGAAGGGATAAGCCTTCACTTCATCAAACTTGGAGGGGAAGCCACATCTCTCATCCAGTGGTAACAGGACACAAGCAGTTGTTTACAGAAAGGTACCATACTGTCTCTGAAATAAAACGCACATATCCACAGCACCTTTCCAACACTCTAAACTTGGACCTAACCATGTAGTGAAAGCAATACCCAGGACAGAAGTACCTTAATACAAATATGTTTACATGAAAAACATAGTGCTGACCCTGTCGTGCTTTTTATATACTTTAAACATGGTTTCTAGAAGACAACAAAAATGGCTTTGGACAGCAGAGGAGCTATCTGGCGTTACAGCTATTTGCAAGGCAAGATAACTTGGAGAAAGTTAAGGATCATTCTGTGATCCTTCAAGTAATCTGCTGGGTATCTGAGGTGCAAGCCTTTTGACTTCAGTGGGACCAGCATCTCTCCCTGGATTTTAAGCAAAAATACAAATCACATACCTCTGAAAAAAAGAAGTTAATAATCAACACATTATAGACTATTTTGCCTTAAAGTGAAGCAAATCAGTCTACTAAGGAAACACGGAAGTGCAGGCACGCATCTTTGGATTGGCTGTTGGGTAAGGTCTGAATAAAACTTGTGGGGAGAAGAAGGGACTTTTCAGACAACTCTCAAAAGCAAATCTATGATCACATTAGGAATCTATGATAAAACCAGTGCAGCAAGGTGTAAAGATACCCAGGTAGAAGAGAGAAATGAGAAGTCATCCGACAATTAAAAAATTGCATTCAGAAGATCATCCATAATATTTTTTTGATGTGGATTGATTTTCAGAGATGCTGAGCTGAGTTTGACAGATGCTCAGGATCACTGAAAAGCAAGGATACTTACTTTATATTCCTGTGCACTATCCAACACACTGTGTAGTATCCCACTCAGTTGCAGACAAATTATTGAAAACTCTTACATTTTCCTGTTGCAAACTGAAAGTATTTACCATGGGTGTGGCCTCTGTGAAATCCATCAGGAGGTCACCTGGCTCCAAAGCAAATGTACTTCCAGCATCTGTGGAACTCTAAAGACAAAGAAGAAACCCAGCATTGGAGAAAAAAAAACCCCAAACATTTCATTTCTGTAATTGTGTTGGTTTTGTGGGGTTTTTTAATTCCTGAAAGCACAGACTGCCAAATGGATTTCAAATTTCACACCATGTTTTTTAAGTACACCTACTTGGGAAAGACAGACAACAAAATTATGCACCTTCTAAATCAAGGTAAATATCAATTTAATCATGATCCACTGCCCCCTAAAGTTGACAAAAATCCATTATTGATTTTCATTGGGTCTTGGAGCAGTCTCTAAATATTTCCCTACACAACAGGTTAAACATATTACTACAACTCTGCATTAAAAACTACTAAATGTGGAGTTACCCCATCTAAGGAAAACATGTTATCTGTAACTCCCTCCCACCCTTCCTGAACACTCTCCAACCTGACATAAGCTCAGCTCTTTGAATGTTACCTTGCCACCAGGTGAAACCTGTGTTTGTCCTTCTGACGTCTGTGGTGTACACGTTTTCTGCGATCCGGGAGATGCTGAAGACACAGGTGTTGACGCTGCGGCTGCTGCTGCCAGTGCTGGAGGAAGGTCATCTTCATCACTGCAGTTGATAAAAGCAGACAGATCTTCTCACTAGAAAATGCCACTGGACTTTGACCGTACTTGTGCTTGAGGAGACACTGATAACCTGTATGTCAGCTGTAGTGCTTTGAAGTGAAATTCTGTTTACTCTTCCGTCTGTAATGGAGCTAACTTTTCAAGTAAAGTATATTTTTTACACTTTAAAGATTCCTCAAAAGTGGATTGGCAAGGTAACTCTCATCTGCAAATAGAAATCTTACAGATATGATGTGCAAGTAGTGTTTCTATGTAGTATGTATAGATGAATAAATGAATCTATTTGATATTACTCTACTTTAATGTTTATACTTTTCTATGGAGGCTAGGAGCATTGACAACAGATCTGGTTAGATCCATCCACGGGACCAGCTGCTTCATTGGCTTTAGACCAATGGGAGATTTTGACATCCATTATGCAGCTGGTCTGTGCTGTTGTTTTCAAACTCTTTTTAATGGACTTTGACTGACTCCAAAAAGGAGCTCTTTAGAAACATTCTTGTGAGGTATCTTTTTCCTGTCCCATTTATTCCATTTACAGAAAAAAACATTTTATTTAAAACCAGGTTTCATGCTTCCCTTGGGCTCTAGGCCATCAAGCTGAGTTCTTTCCATCCCACCTACTGTCACCACTAAATGACAACCAGTAGAGAATTTTATACCTTCATTTAGTTTTGTAGAGCCACACTAACTACAAATCACTGGGATTGGTCAGCCCTGAATCAGGATGTTTCCAATTGCTAACTGCAATTTCTTGGAGGTAAACAGAGTCGCAATTTGGCCTACAGAACCTTTATTCTTGGGAATGATGCGTGAAAAGGAAAGACTAGAGCTTGACAGTTTAAAGCATGGGAAAAAATGATGAAAAAGTTATTTCTGCTCATAAAATGGCACCAATTTTAACTACCAATTAGTAGTCTCAGTGCACAGAAGCCTGCCATGCCAGTTTGACAAATGTTTCCATAATAGAACTGTACTTGGTTTAGTGCTACTTGAAAGCAGAATGCCTGGACAACACAGTACTTCCAAACTACATGACATACAGGGTACACTGCTTTATGGTGGGTTGTTGGGGTGATAGCAATAGGTTTTTACTATGATATAAAGCTGCAGCAATCAACATTATCTTTTGCACGCTTCTTTTTTTGTTTCTTCTGGGTAAGGATAGAATTCAGCACCAGAGAATGTACAATACACTGGGTTTATGCTGGGAAGAAAATGCAAAATCTTTTGGACCTTGTCGGTAGATGTTTTATTAATGCAACAAGCCAGAGTTGGGCTGTTGACCTAGTTAATCTCTCTTTCAGAAACACGTAGCTGACATTTTCTCAGTCCTTGCTCCCCACTCTCAGCAGGAATATACTGGCACCCTTCCCACCCTTGCTGGGCAAAGCTGCTCTGTTGCATACAAGGAAGTAAAAAATAGTTGAGAAGTTGCCAGTTCAGAAAGGCTTCTTAATTTAGGTCTGCAAGCCAAAGCTAAGGGTTAGGGTCCAGTCTTACCAGTCATCAAGCTATTAGCACACTAGCTATAAGACTGAGAATTGGCCTTCTTCACTGTATTCCTTTCACAGAACTTCTTCATTCTTTCTTTGCATTTCCCCTAGTTGCATTCCACACACTAGATAATTTAAATTGAATGGGATTTGGGTCTACAAAAATTTTTTTTCTAATTCCCAGCCCATACTTTTAACTAGGGAGTCTTCAGCCCTACACATGGCCGTAGCATAGGTGACACCTGTGGTTATGCACTGTTCCTCATGCCTAACAGTGGACAACTGAAAATCTACATGGGGGGCCAGACACGCTCAAAACTGGTTCCTCAAAAACTTACCAATCAAAAATTGACAATTCCCTCTTGAATACACTTTTTAAAAAAAAATATACTGTTTAAATGTTGCTTCTCTCTGTGTGTGTATTAACACCATTGCCTTTTCCACTGCATGATCCTGTCCCTAGTCTCCTTTTCATTCCACTTGCCTCCCACTGCACTGTTCGTCACTTCAGCTCTTGTCTTTCCAGGTTCTGCTCTTCCTACACTCTACTGAATTCTCTGTGCTACTGTTACTTGCAATGGCCCTTGGCACCCTTTCCCTTCTTTCTAGGACAACCTCTCATTCATTTTCATTTACCCTCTCCTGCTTTCCTCAGTGCTGTTGTCAGGTGCAGGGCCACGCGTTCTGCAGGTGCTCAGCAGCTCTGGAGGACCATCTGACTGTTCATGTGCAGAAAAGGGAGGTTCTTGGTCTCTGGCCCAAAGATTTTCTTTCTGGTCTTTAAGAACAGGTTGGCTAAACACTTTCTCAGACAAGAATATCTAGTAATAGCTGATTCTGCTATTGCTTCAGGGATGACCCCTTGAGGTACCTATTTTCATTATTTTATGTTCTATTACCTATACCTCTTTGGTTGTCACCTCCTGTTTATTGCTAAACACACACTCTCCAACATAAACCTACCCTAGAGCAAACTTTTCACCCAGATTCTTAAAAACTAATTTCTCAGTAGCCTTACTATCTTCAACATCAACTTATCCTGCTACTTACTTTGATGATCCCATGCGAAATTTTCTGCTTCTGCATACATAACATCACCACGGTATCCTTTACATCAAAACTGTCTACACAGCATTAACATGTTCTCTTTGTTTGCCATGTAGCAGTATTTGAGGATCAAGTTTAACAACCTCTTTAGGTTACAACTTAAACCAAAAACTTTTCCAAGTGTCTGTTACAAAATCTGTGACTATACCTGCAATAGGACATCAATTTCTTGCCTGTCCTTAAACATCAAGTGTGCTCAAGGAACAGGATCAGCCACCACATCCTGTTCATTACCTGCCATATGAAGAGCATCAAATAATTGGTCCTTTCAGTGTCACAGTCTTTTCCTTTGCTGACTGCTATCTACAAGTCCCTGCATGACATAAAAATCTGAAAATTCAGAAGCATCTTGAAATATATGTAGGAGATTTCCTTCCCCTGGCTTGCAGAAAAAGAAGTAGTGAAAGTGGTGTCTCATTTGAGAAAAGCACACTGCTGTCTGGGCTACGCTGGGCAGAGTGAGTGAGCAGGATTCATTCAGGCCTTGGGAAACTGCTCCTACCAAATGTTGCCAAGTTCCCTATCACATATTACCTTCAGGATTAGCAAGCAGTAAGGAAAGCTGGGTCCTTTTCCCAGCTTGAGTTGTCAATTCCTATCTCCTATTTAATTTTCAAACTGTGCTGGTTGATGTATCGTAGTAAAAGAGAGCATGTTATGTGGCCTGTGACCAAGCTGTGGCTGCGTGTTCCCATATGTCAGCCTTGATCTCTTGGACAAATACCAATTTGGCTAATTGCTCATTTTCTTCCTAGTTTCAATTTGATTAATTTTTTTGTTTCTTCTCCTAGATTTTTCAGTTTTGGTGATGTAGACTGTTACTTTCTTTCCATAACAAAAGCCAATGTTCTTAATAGTGAGACAGAAAATAGATACATATTGATATTTATTAGAATCCTTTTAGAGAGAAGGAAAGCTTTTGCTAATGTTGCTATATATTTATAAATATTAGCATGTTAAATTGCTGAAGGGACTAACAGTTGCCATTCCACATAGAAAGCATACATGTTTTTTTCCTTCACTGGGGCATTGGTGTTCTTGTACTACTGAGTTTATGCTGATCTTGTCCCTTTTTTTCCCTAGTTTCTGGTGGCCTTGTTGGTCCTTTCATATGAAGGACAGATCAACAAACTGATTTCCACATCTCTTCAGTACCTCACATCTCCAGAGAGTCTCAAATCGGATGAACGATGTGTAAATGGGATGGCAAAACCCTGTAGGCAGAGATTACTCTTGCCAGGACTGAGAGACTTAACTTTGCTGGCTGTGGCTGTAGCTGTAGCAGGCTCAGCAATTTCTGCATGTGACAAAATCACAGAGAGAGAGGGAGAGAAAGAGGGTGCACTTTCTAAGAAGGAATGGCTAACAGCACAGCTTGACCACCCAACAACTAAGGACTGTTTCCCTCATTTTGCAAATGGGGCTGTAATGAAGCAAACAGAGCAGCTTGCTCCAGCTCACACCAGGTCTCTGACATTTCATGTGGAAAAGAGGGGTTTAATTCCTAACCTATAAGCTCATAAAAAGGCAGAGGGCCTGCAATTCTGAGGGTGAGGGCCTGCAATTCTGAGCTTTAGCAACTGCGTAGGGACAGCAAATTCATTTCATATTAAAAGCCTGAAGATTCTCAGTGATGAAAGGAACAGTATCAGTAGAAGATCATTACCATGTAATTGCACTCTTTCCTTTCAGAAGACATATCTAGAGCAATAATTAGCATCCCCCTTCATTTTCAGCTGTAGTAGGCAAAAACATGAAGTTAGTGCTATACATTACTCACAAACTGTACTGCCTCGTTAACTTCCTCACAAGAGAAACTTTAATCTCCTGCTTTTCTGTCGGGCCAGTTGATGGCGTAGTTTCAGGTCGCACTGGAGCTGGACTTCTAAAAATAGCAAGAAAAATATATGTGGCACAGTCTGTATTTAAACTACTTCAGGCATATCATCAATGTTCTAACTCATCAACGCATATTTATCTTGCAAAGTAGCAAGTGCCCATTGAAGTTCATCCTTTTGTTCCATTTATAGTTCACAGGCCAGTGTGTATGAACAGAAAAGGATGTGTGAACTCACCCTCCTGTGCATTGCATACCATTTATAAAAGCAGCAACTGATTACAAACACAGAGCCTATGTAAGAGACCATGTGGAAATATCACTGTTTCCAAAACACAACATTTTAATAACAGCCCGGCAATTCAGTCATGTCAGAAATATTTTTACAAAAAATACATTTAACAAAAACTATTTTATGAATTGTGAAACCTGTTCTGCTTAAAATAGTTTTTACTGAAGTTAAACATTATCCTTCTGCATTTGAAATAGCAGCTCAAGGGAAATGAACTAATGGATTTTATCCAAGAAAAGGATAGTTGCTAGAAAAAAAGCAAAACTCAGATATGTTTCAAATGCTCATGAGTGTGAAATACAACTGCAGAACTCCAGCAAAGGCTAGAAATGGGAATGAGGAGACCTGCATAAGAAGATCCTCTTTTTAACCATTTATCGGTAGAGTTAACTAAGGCTTGAATACAAATAGCATAAATATGAAACACAAGATCTTCAAGAACTTGGGAAGAAACCGTCTCAGCAGTGAGCTTGAGTGGCACGAAAACACATGAATCGTCTTAAATACTACTTTTACTTGAAGCAACACATTATGATTAAGTACACCATATGTGTATTACAAATGCTATAATAAATATGCCAAACATTAACAGAGTAGTTTGAAAATCTTGATTAATAATTTGTGAAATAGTATTCTGCCATCTAATCTGAAGTCAGATACTAAGTCAGTACTTCAGCTAGTTGCTGGTTCCTGGTGGGACTGCTCATGCACCGAGGTACATTCCACAACTGGCAGAAGTGGCACAATAGCGTCTCTAATACTACAAATTTGGATTGAATTTTTCGAGTCTACTTACATCATATCAGCCTTCTAAAGACACAACAAGATAAGCATATTTAATCTTCACAATTGCAGTTTCCCCTAATGCCCCTGTGGGTTTTAAGCTTCATTAGCTCTCTCTGATAACTTCTGAAACTGCAGTTCAGCTACAACAGAACCTACAGGGATGGCACAGCCTTCAGATTGTATCTTCAGATTTCCCATGTGTTTTTTAGTCTTTGGGGATGTCACAGAGTGTAAAGATGAAGCAATGGGGAGTATAAGAGTACAAAGGACATACATAAGTCATAAACCTGACTCTACTGGTTTCACTTCTTATGGAATAACTTGTCGATTTTTTTCCTGTTTTTTGATCCCATTAATTTCAAGAAGTCAGTACAGATATCAGCAAGATTCATATCTTGCCCCTTTTCAAATTCCCCTTTCAGAGTCAGTCATCTATATCTCAGATTCGCAATGAGATTAATGCAGAACAATCCAGCCAGATTTTCAAACCTTTTGCTGAGTATGTTAGGCTGACAAATAAGGGGAGGATAAGAGGAGGAAAAAGCCCAAACCATCTTGTTTTAATCCTGAAGTCAGTATGTCTGTTTTGGAAATCTGTAAATCAATATCATGATGAAAGCTCCCAATGTCATTTTCATCAAGTCAGGCTTCAGAGTAGAAGACTGCTCTAGCTATTCTTTTCTTAGACAGCTTTTGCTCAGCCAAAGGTAGCTTTCAACAACTGAAAAAAATTAACAGTTCAATTCACTCAAAGTGATTTTCAATTCATGTTCTGACATAAGCAGGATAAACGTGTTAAGACCCGTTTAACAACTGGATCTAATGGTCAAGTCCTCAAGGGGTGTGAATGTGTGTAGTGTCATTATTTTCAGCTCAAGACTTCTGAAATACATTAGCTGAAATACTTGTTCTGGACAAGTAGTCCTCACAATTCTCCAATACCTCTGTAAGAGGGTACTTACAAATTTTAACCTTTTCACCAACCCAGTGAAAGCATGAACAAAAATAGTGGTATAAACTACACATGATTTGAAAAATGTTCCCTCAAAATGATAACAAGTGATGCACTAATACAATCAAAGGACCTCAGGAAACAGCAGAGTGTCGAACAGCAAAGCTGGTAACAAGTCTATTTCGAGTTCATGGCTACTTCAAATTTCTCAAGACAACATTATAATCTGTAATGAAAGTAAATCAGGCATTTTCAGACAAAGGACAATTTGAAATTATAATTTCAGTTCCTTGAAAAAGTTTCATTTTACAAAGCTTATATATCTCCTTTTGATTCTCATGGTTTGCAATTTTTAAAAAAGGAGAGGAGGTGGGACTTTAGAAGCAGGCATTTCAATTGCTAAAATAAAATTTTTGTTTTAAAAGATACTGTGCAATTTTGCAACTAAAGTAGTTTATAATGATTTCAAAGCAAGTTATGAAACTGATTTGTATATATGAAATGTTTTAAAGTTCTAAATTTGAATACTGAAAAAAGTTTCACATGAAAAATTTCACTCAATTGTGATTAAAAGTGTTTGAGAGCCAAACAGGACTTACTTTCTAATCCAACAAATAGATGAAAATCTTATTATCTTCTTTTGAATGCTGCAAATTTTCAGATGAATTAAAAAAAAAAAAGCCAAGATACAGTAACACTAGACACACCTACTCCTATTTCAGTGACAGTAACTGCTCAGATAAACTTCACTGACATGATACTAAATACAAGTAAACTATCCCACTCACTTATTTTGCAAAAGCAATATAATTTTAAGAGCAAAAACTTCTCTCCCTTTATTATAAAATTTTGCCATCATTTTTGTTAGAGGCTGGCTGAAATGACTATATTTCTCCTGATATTTATCAGGCCTCTGGGAGAGACACAAGCACCATTTAATTGCATGTTTCAAGAAGCTGCAGCTTAGCTAGGCTGCAAATTGAAGCTGCCTCTGAAAGAAAAGGAGCAGTAGCAATGTCTTCACCCAAAGAGGCTGACTGAATCCTGTCTACCATAAGCATGAGATGAAAAGTTAGACTAGTTCTACCAACTGCAGAGCTGGATTTTGGCACTCATTAAAACCTTGCTAGGTTAGCTCTTTCCACACCAGCCTAAAAAAATCCATGACAGCTCCTGTTTCATCTCCAAACACTCTTCCTCGGTCTGAACATGCTCAAAACTGTTGCTATTCTCACATCAGCAACCAGATGCAAGAAGTGCTCAGCTTGATCAACTCTGATCTGTGTTTAAAAATGGCAGGCTTTTAATATCACACAGACTCTTAAAAAAGATATCATTGATATTCCTGAAAAAGAAGCAACCATAAAATAGAATAACTAGCATTGTTATCTTTTAAATTTTACAGCAAAAATGTATTATCTTATATGGAAAGATATGATTCTTGAGGAGAAGCCTTGTAAATATTTTGGCTATTTAAATGGAGTCGTTATGTGCAGATATCACCACTTGTAGTTTATTGTCCTATATAAACTACATAGCTGTGTAAACTACATAGCTATAGTCCTATATAAAGTATATAGCTTGGATAAAACCTGAAGTGTTGAAGAATCGGGAAGACTCAAATAAAAAAAAAAAAAAAAAAAAAGACAACTGTATTACAGTTCCTTTATAAGGCTCTGTTTCAATGTCATTAATTCATAAGAAACCTTTTTCCTGTAACAGTATCTAACCACTACAGCATAAAAATGGAAGTACTGAACCAAGGCAGAGTTACTTAATGACCTGGCACCTCACATAAAAATCTGTCACTTCCTGGTGAGAACGACAGTAACAACCACAAATGTCAGCATATAGTGGCAGGTCATCAGAAACTGCCTGTGCACCGAGAGTCCCAGCACACCCCTGAGCAGCAGCCAGGACGCTCTACTGAACCAGCTTCAGCCCATTTCACAAGCCTGCACAGAAACATAAAAAAGTGCTAGAGAGAGATCCCCCCAAAACCGAGAAACCTGTTTTGTTCGCAGCGTAGCAGCCAACAGGATAACTGAAACCAAAACTGCTCACAAAAAAAAAAAAAAACATACGCTGTAGAGCACTACAAGTGACCACAATGTCCACTGATTTAGCTTGAATCTTCCCACCCCACCCTGACTCAGCTGTAATGGGGAGAGTAGTTTGCCGGGCTGGGGCTACGCTGCTGTCTGCAGCACCCCTTTGTGTACCATGGCTTTCACCCACTGACATCCCTTCCTCGTCCCCTGCTAAGCTCTCTCAGGGCAGACCTCTGTACTTGTTTGAAAGGTGGCTGTGTGGGAGCAAACAACTGTGCACCTAATAAGCTGAAAGAGATAAAATAACTTTTTCCTGAAGGATCAGTTCAGAATTTTAAAACAACCAAAGTCTGCTGGGGGAACTTGCTTTCTGTGTCTGTCTTTAAATAGATTTTATTCTTTTTTTGCTTCTATTTGTGCTTGTAGTGTCATCTGGAAAAATCTCTCTTCCTCCATCCTCCCAGCCTAAGGCCAAGAGGTAGATGCTAAAAGCCCCATGATATACAAGGATACAGCCATCTGCAGGAAGGCTGACTTGCCTTCAGGTGCTTATGGAAAAAAAAAAAAAAATCAAAACTGAAAAAAACCCACTGGCTGATTTTTGGCTTCAGAACTCCCTCTGAGTGGGAATATGGTAGTGAAATCTTGGGAAGGAAAAGCAAGGAAGAAAGGAAAGAAGAGGAAAAAAATTTGATAGATGCATTGTTTTGTGTATCCAAGACACATCCGAACAAGCCAGGCAAACACACACAAGCATGCAAATCTTTTCTAAGTCTGTACTCTAAGGGTTTCACACTTACTTATTTTCCAAAGTTATGGCCATCTGAAGTTAAGAAACAATATGTGCTTTTTCAGTCTGATAAGGTAGCTTTTCTCAGAAGACAGCTTAGCTCTCCAAAATGTTCTTTGGACATTTGAAAGCTATTGCCAGCATCAAATTTTCTGAATAAAGACTTTTTTCTTCTTT